TAAAAGTTTAAGTGTCAGAAGTAAGGTTACGTTACCCCCCGTCCCCCTCCTCTCTGTTGTCTATATCAGATATTACTAACTTAACCAACCGGACGTACGTTTCTTTTTTTTTTTTTTTTTTAACATATGTACTGCTTTATTTTACATAAACAGGCTCAGGTTTTACACACTATTCTGCTATTTGCTTTTCTCACTAACTTTTTTTAAATTGAAGTATAGTCAGTTTACAATGTTGTGTTAATTTCTGGTGTACAGCACAGTGATTCAGCCATATATATATATGGATATATTCCTTTTCAGATTCTTTTTCATTATGGGCAACTGCAAGGTATTGAATACAGTTCCCTGTGATTTACAGTAGGACCTCGTTGTTTATTTTTTATACAGTAGTTAGTTCCAGGCTCTGTTTCTGATTACAAAAAAAAAAAATAGCTTCACAATCCTTCTCAACACCCCTGCCATTGCCTACCTCATAGTCTGGCTTGGATTAGTTTAAAAACTTACTTGCTATTCTTGAACATCCAGTGCTTAAACCGAAAAGTAGGGTCAAGAAAATCCAGAAACTTCCAGAGAGAGCTCTGAGGCTCAAAGTTGCAGTAATGGCCTCGCCCAAAGTGCATTCCCTGATGAAGTCACCCTTTATCTGGTGACTCCTGGATTCTAAGATTCCTGGGACTTAGAGATGTTCTTTATAAAACCAACCAGTACTGGCTGACATCTATTTTTAAGTATTCTACATTTGTTTCCTAGTTCTGTATTCTGGCAAATCACAGACGTAGAGGGACATTCCCTTTTCTATTTCTCAAGTCTACCCCAGTCTAATTTTTACACAGGAGTTTATGTTCAGCACTGCTCACTGAAGTTATTTTTAAATGTGCAAACCCAGTGTTCATTTGTTTAAGTCTAAACTTCCAGGGTCATCACAGACTTTAACACTGTGGCCTTTTGGGGGCTACAGCACCAAAGGCACATTTCATGCTTGAGTCTTTCTCACGCACATGCACACCTGCAAGCACTTACACGTGCACACGCAACCACAGAGAGCCGGACAAGCAGTGTCCTACCTCCTTCTGGGTGCCAATCACATAAAATGTCTTCCCTTCAAACTTCAATTTGCAGACATCTGGCCTAAGAAAAGAAAGTCTTTTTGGGTGAGAAATAAAAAACAAGTGGCAGCTAAGCAAGGTACCTGGCTCTCCCATAGGAATCCGGCTGACTCACAAGTGCCAAGCCGACTGCAATGAAACAAGATATTATCTTCTCATCGCTGAAGGCCTAATGAGCAGTGAAAAGCCCCCAAGTGAATTATACAGCAATTTTCTTCCCAAGAGAGGCTCTGTAGGCAGCTCAGGATTATTTATTCTTTTTTTTTTTTTTAGTTAAGCTGCACATTTCTTCCAAGGAGCTCTAGGAGTTTCAGGGACATTAACGACCAAAACAATACTGACTGGCCAAGTCCACACTGCAAGGTAGGAGGAACGTAGTTATTTCACATTCAGTTAATGAAAAGATACAGATTTCCAGTATCCATCTCCCTCACCCTTTCACATCCATCTCCCAGAAACACACACCACACTGCAAAATTTTCGTTTCTGCTCTCCCTGCTTATAAATGAATAATTGTATTAGATACTGAAGTGCTCAGAATTGTAAGGACAACTTGATGAACTGTCGCCCAAAGACTTGAGGCTTCATCTTAAGGAGAAGTTGAGTTAAAACCTGCCTGAAATGGAGACCCGAGGTCACCTTCTTGGTGAGAAGAGACGTGTTAAAAGAGGAAGGAATTCTATTTTTATTCCTTTGATCTAATTCCTAGGATAGTGCTGTGTGCCCCTGAGCTCTTCCTGGGGGAAAAGTGAGGTCCTATAAAGCTGAGGAGAGAATTTGCAAGGGTGATGAAGCTCCATGGATGTTAAGAACAAAACAAAACAAAACTAGGTTTAACACAGAAGAAAGTTTATTTTAGTAACACGTACCTGACTGTTACAAACATGTGCTTGAGCAGAGGCAGGAAGGGATGGGGATGACACCAGCCTCCCCACCAGAAACACCAAGATGCAGAACCCACAAACACGCAGTCTGGGACGGTCCATCTCAACTCTTCAGTGCACCCAGGAAGAAACTAAAGCCCCAAGGAGGGAGCTTTGTACTTAATCTGCACGTGAGACACGTTGGGTTCTAACCCAACTACTCTAGAGTTCAAGCAATTCAGAAACACCCTTCAGGACCCCCATGCCTGTTGTAATCCTAGGGTAGTATGGGGGATGTCTTCCCTTTACACATGCTCCCCAAAGTCTGCAGAAATCCCTAGGGAACTTATTCTGGAATAGACTGAAGGGTGGCTAACATTGGAGCTTCTTTACAGGTACTGCAAATATGATAAAGAAGAAAATTGGTAACACTACCATGCTATACATTTATAAAACCCCATAGTTCACAAATCAAACTGTTTCTCTTGCTTCTCCCCCATCTCCTTTCTTCCCTATAAAGCAGTCGGATATAATTAATACCCATTTTATGGATGAGTACATTGAGACTCAGTTAAGTGATTTACCAGAGGCAGATGAGAGTCTGAGAATGCTAACTGGGGAGGACGAGAATAAGCAGGCACCGATGGGAAGTGAAAGCATGCCATGAGGTAAAGGCAATGATAGAGTGGACAGGGAAGATATTTAGACAAATTGGGGTTCTTAGAAAGGGAAGGCTGATAATGAAAAAGAGCAGAAGGTGCAGGAAGCGAGTGGACATTAGCTGATGCTAGTCTAGCAGAGAAGGTTTGAAGGGAAGGCAGTGCTAAGAGGAGAGTGCCGAGAAGTGGTAGGCAGGGAGCTTAGAAAAGAGGAGCTGGAAGAAATCCTGCAGTTAACAGAACCATACAACTGAGGTTCAGGTCTGTGCAAGAGAGCGTTTCCAACCCATGACTGAGGGTGGATGCCCACTGGCCCAGCAAGAGCTTCAGATCCAAGAGCTCCAGCCAGAAGAGAGAGCCCACCACCTAGGGAGACACTGGGGGACACACCTGTAGAGACCCTGAGAGGAAACCAAATCAAGCTGAGGTTATGCACAAGACTAAGCCCTTAACAATATTCCAACACACATAAAATGTTCAGCCTTCCTCACTCTTTACCGAAACTATTTTGTTCCTCCATTGGACATAGTGGGAACCTGTGTCCTTACTGACACAACCTAGACTTTATTCTTCCCCCAGATCAAATGTTCATGCAGGTGATGCTCTTCCCAGCCCCTAGAGGATGGATCTTGATTTGACCAACCTAGTCATGGAGTTTTCATTCATCTTGGAAGGACTGGTTTAAGCAGGCACATATGACCCAATCCTGCCCAATGAGACACACAGGAAGTCTTCTACAGGGCTTCTGAAAAAGCTATCCTTGTTTCAATAGGAGACACATGGAAGGGGCTGCTCCCCTTTGGGCTTGGGTGATGCTGTGTGAAGATGTGATGGCCAGAGTTGCACGTGTGGCCACCGTATGGTCAGGAGCCTGGAGATAAAAGCTGCCACCTGGGATGGCGGAGAGGCGAACTGAGAGACCCAAGTCCTTCACAGTATCGTCAAGCAGTTAAGTTAAATGGCTGTGGGACTGCCTGGTGTCTGGAACTTCTGCTATTTAAGATAATCAGTCCTCCTGTTTATAAGCCATTGTGAGAAGACATTCCTGTTCCTTTGAGCCAAAAGCATCTTCACTGATATACTGGATTACAAAGGGGGAGTCTGCAGCGAGGATTCAACAGAAGAGAATGGAAAGAAGGGTGTGGGAGAGAGGGATGTCTTTTACCCTGCCCTGACCCCCTTCCCCATGGTCACCCCTCTGGCCAAACAAGCTACTGGTGAGGAAACACTGGACACCTACTCTTCGAATGCAGAGACCCTAAGCCTGGGACACACTCAGGGCTCCTGAGGTCTAGGACAACCTAGATTTGGTTTCATTTATAGATGAATAATCTCCTTACAAGAAGCCCCAAGGCAGAGAAATGGGTCCCAGGCATTCTACCTGACATTTCCAAACAAAAAGTCAAAGGCTGGGAAAGAAAAACAAGATTAAGGAAAAATAAGATTACATTTTTTTTTCCAAAGAAGCACTCACCATTTTATCAAATGGATTCTCTTATTCCCCTGGAATACCACAAAACCTGCAGCAGTGAATCCTAAAAATGTTGTTGTGCCTGTTGAATCCTGAAAACACAGAAACAAAAACATATTTGGATTAAGGAATATAAAATAAAGGATAAACGATACGCTTATTCATCCTCACCCGGGGTTAATTTCAGGTTAATTACAATGATTGTAGCAATAAGCTAAGCTTCTGAGGTGAAGACTACCAAGGATAGTACTTCTAAAATTTGAGTGAGGTCCAGCAATGTGTCATTTTCCCTTTTGAGGAAGCCAGTTTCTGCCTCCCCAGGAACCTCAGATTAGCCCCAAACCACTAGTCTCCTTCCAAGTGTCTTCCGGGGCTGCCTGAGTTCTCAGATCCGCCCTACAAAGTGGGCAAATTGTTCTTGGTTTTCATTAACTCTGAAACCAAAGCCCTGAGCATCTAATTTCACTGCACTCAATCACAAAAGGGTTTCAGGCAACTTAAATATAAAGATATGTTTAGAAATGTCTGTTTTGATTCCAGCTTCGACCAGGAAAACTAAGCACTGGTAAGTGAAGGCAAAGGAACAACAGGATAACAACAAAAATCAAGTCAGTCTCCAAGCAATAAATAAAACAGGCAGACGGGCTCAAATTTGTGGATAAAATCAAATTCACTAAATGGAATCATCTGATTTACACCATTACCAGGAAGAGACGTCTGGGAAATATTATAAAATAATTGTGTGGGCAGAGCAAGAAGACAGACCCCACCGGTTCTCTGCTTGGGCTGCACAATGGGATCATCTCCAGAGCCCGGTCTGCACCCTGACAGAGCCTGACGGACCTGGGCAGCAGGCCTTTGTGCGGCTCCTCAGGCCCTGCTAACGAGCAGCCGGGCCTGAGAGCTCTAGCACTAGGACTTCACCAGATACTATGAGCTGCTTCCGTCTGGGTAAAGAAGTCTTCCACTATGACTGAAAAACATACCTTTAAGAGCCTGGTGGATATAAGCGCTTAGTTTGGGATTCAGGTCAGTGTCTGGTTGATGCGCACTTAGTTTAGGATATGGAAAGAACACTGTTTTCATAAAACACTTTTGGAAAATATGTGCTTGAGCATCGTTTTGGGGGCTTGCTTAAAAGGCAGATTCCCCAGCTGCACCCCCTGTGACTCTGATTCAGTGGCTCTGGGGTGGGACCCAGGTGACTCTGATATACGTGGTCTGGGTTTCCCGCCTGAGAGAAATACTGTCAAATGATGTGAGTAAAGGAAAAAAGAAAAATACATACTCCTAATGTCAAAATACAACTTTAAAATCTTTTTTTTTTCTTCCACTTCCCCATTTTTTAAGACTGCATTCTTGCTGGCAATGGCCTTTGAAAATAAATCTGTTAGGATCTTATAACTTCTCATAGGTAAAACCATCCACTTGATGGATGAATGAATTAGTAAGCAATTAGAAGACTCAAGTAGAGAAAATCAACTCCCCAGGCCTGTGACTGCAGCCCATTGTTGTCCTTTCTGATTAGAGGCGATGGGTCAGGCTGTGGAAACATCCTGTAAAGGGTCTGCCAAGCCTGCACTCCAATTAGCTTTCTTTCGGGCAAAACAATCATTATACGTCAACCTGCAGTGAGGGGCAGTTACCTTGCACGGGTGGGGATCCACCCCATAGGTTTCCAAAGTTTGAGCTTTCAGGAGCAAATTAAATTCAGCGACCGGTGGGCTCTGGCCTCTAAAATCACACAAGAAAAGTTTAGGGAGTTAACGTGAAAAATAATAGAAACATGGAGTCCTTTCATACAATGACAGAAAGCCCTACATAAACAGTAATCAGTAAGACTGGTCATTATTCCTCCCCATGAGGAGTCCTTTGCTAAGAAATCTGAGCCCGTGTTGCCTAGCTAATTGTCCCATAATAAACCCACACGTATCCTGAGGACTTCAGAGAGCTGGACAGTTCATCAAGGTTATTCAATTACCAATAAGTCAGCCCTTGCAAATTCAATCTTAGTAAGAACTAAAATTCAGCATCTGTTCTTTCCTACTTATTCTAAAGGATTATCCAGGGTAAATGGCATTTCTTCTTGCTCAGGGTAGAAAGTGGGCAATCCTGTTACCCCGTCAACAAGTCTAAACAGAGCCATCTGGGTAAGAAGAGCTGTCAACCCTTCCATTGGAAAGCCCTGGGTTTTGAAAGGAAATCTCAGCCACGTCTAGTCCGAGCAGTGTCCTCCAGGGTGGTAAACAAGGTCTTGGCCCCGGGGGAGGAAGGGGGCTCCAAACACAAGTGGCTGTGAAGCCCCGTGGGGCTAACTTCCAAACCAGGATGGTGCAGCATTTCAGACTCTGCCTTGACTAACATCAATATCCCACATGTATCTTAGAGAATCTGAGCCACTCTCCAAGGATAAATACGTAATCCTAACAACAGGAATTCACACTGATTCTCATAATGTAAAAGTATGTTGCAACATTAACTCTATTTCCACCCAAGTCTCTCCTCAAAGATGGATTCCCTCCACACCCTCTCAAGACAGCTAAGAGTCGTTATGCCTCTAAATCAAAACAGTATCCCCTCTACCTTCTCAGTAAGGCCTTTCAAGATCTTCTCTTTGGGAGGGAGGATATAGCTCAGTGGTAGAGCGTGTGCTCAGCATGCACGAGGTCCTGGGTTCAATCCCCAGCACCTCCATATAAATAAGTAAATACTTAATTACTTCCCTCTGTCCCCAAAATGAGATCTTCTCTTCACCCTGAATGTTCACTCTGATCATTTCTAATTGCAAACACTCAGCCCCAGGGGGCAGCAGGGTGCAGCCTACGCAGCTCCAGAGGACACACCATTAAACCCAGAGACTTCTGTTTATCAGCAGGTATCGCTCGGGTGTGAAGACAAGCCCCTACACGGGAAAAGATTTTGGCAACCTGCACAATCCAAAGGGCTCCCATGTAGAATTAAAAAATAAAATAAAACCTCCTAAAAATCAATAAACAACAATAAATATTTTTAAAAGATAACTCAGAAGAAAAAAATGGCAAAACACTTGAATAGGCATTTCACAAAATAAGCCTCCGTATAGCCGACAACCACATGAAAATGTGCTTAACCTCTTCACAATCAGGAAAATATAAAACTTTTAAGAAATCATTTACACATCCATCTGACAGCTAAAATTAAAAAAAAACAAAAAAACAACCAATATCAAGCCCTCCTGAGAATGTGCAGACAAAGCAACTCTCATTCTGCTGGTGGAAGAGCAATTTGGAATAATCATCTAGAAACGTGACATTATCTCCTAGAGTTAAACATGTTTACCCTATAATACAGCCATTCCATTCATAGTTATATATACACAACAGGGACTAGTCCATGTTGTACTAAGAAACGTACAGAATTTTCATAGTAGTGCCATTTGTAATAGCAAAAACTAGGAACTTAAGCAAACGTCTACCAGCGGTAGACTGGATATACAATGGAATCTTGCACATGAGGTAAGTGAATTCAATCTATACATAAAATACATGAATAAACTATGCGTCAAATAGATGAATTCAAGCTACACACAACAAGATGGGTGACTATCTCCAAAACAAAACTGAACAAAACAAGCCAGATATAAATGAATACACACTGAATGAATTCCATTTATATGGCTATTATTTATTTGTTTTTTAAACGGAGGTGCTGGGGACTGAACCCAGGACCTCGTGCATGCTAAGCACGCACTCAGTCACTGAGCTATACCCTCCCCCTCATATGGCTTTTTTAAATGAGCAAGACTAAAGTATTCAAAGTCAGAGATGTATCTTAGGGGAGGAAGGAGAGGTAAATATTGGGAAGGGGCATAACAGGGGCTTCTGCGGTATCACCGATTCTCTTTGATCCGGTAATGCAATAATTCACTGAGCCTGACATTTATGTTTTGTTTGTTTTTCTGAATTTGTGTTATACCTCAATTTTGAAGAGCTTAAGAAAAACAGGAAAAGAGAAAAAATAAAAAGGCTGGAAAGCACAGGGAACCTCATATACTGCTAGTGTGTATGGAGCGGCCCCTTCAGCAAACCAGCCACCATTTCCCAGAAGAGGTGAAGTTGTGCAAACTCCATGGCCCAGGTTTGTACCTGGTTTCCACACCTTGGTTTGTTTCTACACTAGGGACAATTTTGCATACACCCCCATGAGAGTATTGAAGAAGCCACAGTAACTTTGTCATAGCAAAAACCCCAGAAACCACCTCATTGCCCATCAACAGGAGAATGGATACATAAAGCCCGATGTGTTCATATGACAGAAAATTAATTGCATAGAAGCAAAAATGAAGACCTGTGGCTATACGTGTCAGCGTGAGGAACTGCCAAAACACGATGCTGGTGGGGAAAAAGTGAGATACAAGAATAGAGTATGATTCCATGCATGTGAAAATCAAAAATAGGAAAAACCAAAACATTACTAACTGATGTATGAAGTACATTTATAACAGCAAAACAGGAGAATAAACCTAAAATTCAGAATGGTGTAGAGGAGGGAGGGAGGGAGAGAGGGAGGTCTGGGAGGGACACATTCGGAGACCTGAGAGCTTCTGGTGATGTTCTAATTTATAAGCAGGGTTGGGGGTCATGGGAGCTTTCCCAACTATTCTTTATACATATATTGCATATACTTTTTTGCATATTATACATTTACAAAGATTAAGAGAGAAACAATTCATGCCTTTTTAATAAAAGCATTACGGGGTGAAATATTATGCAGCCTACAAGCACCACTGAACTAAACAGAATAGGCCAGAAATATAATAGATACACATACTAAACTCTCCAGTTCTGAGTAATATGCAGTTGTTTACACTGCCAAGAAATATACATGTTTTTCACTTAATATTCAAGGAGGAATTCTTATGCTCATTTTAGAAATGAGGATTCTGACACTGAAAGAGGAAAAGTAACTTGCTCAAGGTTACTCAGCTATTAAGTGGAGGAGTGAGTGCAAATCCAAGGCAGCCTGGTTCCAAAGTGCTTCTCGAGGACAGTGACACCATCACTACCAACATCTTACGGTCAACAGCCATCTACCTGCCTGCTCTCCTGGTTACTATGTCAAGCATTTCCAAATGACATGCTTTCTGCTGGTTCTTATAGAAAGTATTTTTCAAATTCTAAACACTTCATCTTATCAGTGATGAGGCAGTCCTTCCCAGATGATAGATACTTCGATCTGATTAGACAGCAGTGATGTCTCCATTTTAATCTAGGTCAGAGATGCCCAGACTAGAGTCTGCAGGCTACATCTGGACCATCGCCTGGTTTTGTATAATCCTGGAGCTAGGAATGTTTCTCCCCTCCACCATTTTTAAGTTGTTTGAAACAATCAAAGAGTAATATTTTATGCCCCTGTGAAACTTACATGACATTTACATTTCAATCTCCATAAAGTTTCACTGAGACAAAGACACACCCATTTAGCTGGGTACTGTCTGTGAATGCTGTCACACTATAATGGCAAACTGAGTGGTCACAACAGAGACCATACATTCTACAAACCTAAAATACTTACTAAACGCCCTAGGACAGAAAAGGTCTGCTGAACCCTGATCCAGGAACTGAATGCAGGCGTAGAAACAACTGACGCTGTGTCTCTCTGAGTCCATAAAATGAAGATTAAAAATAGTACCTACCCCCAAGATTTGGTATACAGAGTGAGCAGTTAATAGTTGTAAAGCCATTAGACTAGTGCCTGGCACAGAACATGCCCTTCTCCTCACCCTCAGAATAGCATTTGTTCCCTTGTCAGTCCTGCACATGACTGAAATCAGAAATATGACGTGGGTGGTAATGTCAGGAGGCAAGTCAAGATATTTACAGCAGAGCAGAGGCCCCTCTTTAAAACAAAAGTCCTCAAGTTGGTATCATCTGCTTTGGGTTTGCCTGTGGATCTCCAATGAAACACTTAAAAGACTTAATCCAAAAAGACATATACTGAAAAAAGCTACCTGTGAAGGTTCAAAGAAGGAAAAGGGCTCAAAACCAACGGAGAAAAGGTGGAGACCCCGAAAGCCCTTAGAAACTCTGAGTCCCCCTGACTCACTGAGGAAGAACCCATTTAATGGTCACGTTTTCAGGAAGACACTAAGGTCAACTAAATAGAAATTACTTTTTCCTTCAAATCTCATTGGACATTTGTTTCTGGCAAAAAGTCTGTTTGGTAATGGAAAATAATGATTTTCTATCCTTTAAATCTTGCACCAGGAACTGTTCTGCTAAGATGAATAGTGTCTCTAATGAGACATTTAGAGGTAAAGACCAGTGTTTAGTTAAATTCTTTTTCAAGAGCTAATAATTCTCTAAAGATATGTTCTTCTAATAAATTAGGTGAGGTCAGGTAATGTATTTAGCTAAATATTCCCCTCTGCCTGTCTTGAATTTTTTTTTTTGCCAAGAGGAACACTCTCTCTCTGATTGATCCTCCTTTAGCATACCATGCCACAGAGTACACAAACATACAGCATCCCCAGAATGAATGCAAATGCTCAGCGGACATTAATTGTAGAATGAGGTGTGAATCTTAATAGGAATGACCTGGGCTGCTTGGAGCAAAGTTGGGCAGGGAAGGGGATGGATTTGGCTCCACCTGATTCATTTGGGTCTGTGAGCTCCAGACTTAAACTCATAAGATTCCTCAAAAAGCTAAAAACAGACTTACCATATGATCCAGCAATCCCACTCCTGGGCATGTAT